ATCTGCATACTGGCATAAAGGAGACAAGGGGGGAGGGTGCTCTCTCACTATGTCTGTTAGGAGAGAAGTAGTTCTTCGTATGAACAATGGGAAACAATGTGCATTTACCCCAAATTAAAACACTATGACTTCAGGAGAATGGAAGGAAACTTCAGGGGCAAATAAGTAAGCGACTGAATGCAAAATGGCTCATGTCGAAGGGCAGTGCGAGCAGCAGCAGGGAAGCATGGACACAGCTGCTGGCAGGGCAGGCAGTCCTGCCGGGAGGAGGTGCTGGACAGAGAGGTGGTCAGCAGCAGAGCAGCCAGTAACGGCCAGAGAACAACAGGACTGCCCTGAGACCTCAGTCAACAAGGACCAGGTGAGTGTGTATGGAATTCAGTTTTAAAGGGAGACAGGAACCAAACAGCCTTCATGTGTTAATGGAAGACTGCTCTTCAGAAGGTAGGAAGTGCAAGAAATGAGCTGTGTGTCCTGTGAATTACACTGTGATCCTGAAACACTAGGGTAGGACACCTCGACAGCGAGACTAAATGTTACAACACAGCATCTGTACCCAAACATACAAAGCCTGAAATTCAAGTAAAACTCAACAAATCACGTTTGCCACTGAGTTAGCGCTAACTCTCAGCGCCCCCGTGTGAAAACCCTGCTCTGTAGGATTTTTTCGGCCATTGTCATGGATTGAACTGTTTCCCTGAAAATCTGTGTCAACTTGGCTTGGCCATGATTTTCAGGGGTTTAGAAGTTATGTAATTGTAATGATCAATGTGGCAGATGCATGATACCCCGTGATATGATCTGATGTGATCAGCTGATCAGGTGTAAAGAGATGAAGATTAAGGGCGAGTTGTAACAGCCTCAGTCCTATCACAAGCCCTGATCTGATGTAAGGAGAGCTTCCCTGGGGTGTGGCCTGCAACACCTTTTATCTTAAAAGAGAGAAAAGAAAAGGAGAGAGAAGGGAGCAGAGGCGGGGACCTACTACCACCAAGAAAGAGGAGCCAGGAGTGGAATGCATCCTTTGGACTCAGGGCCCCTGCTCTGGGATCCTCCTAAGACAAGAGACACAGAGAAAGAAAGGCTTTCCTTGGAACCAGCCCTCTGAACTTGGACTTCTAGTCGCCTAAACTGTAAAACCAGAAGACTGGCAGTTCAAACCCACCAGCCACTCCTCAGAAGGAAGGTTGGGCATTCCTACTTCCATAGTGATACTGCCTTGGAAACCCAAGGAGGGGTTGCTATGAGTTGGGGCCGACTTGATGGCAAATAACAACAACAACAAACTGTAAAACACTAAATTTCTGTGTGTTATAGCCATCCACGTGTGGTAGTTCAGTTACAGCAGCACTAGAGAACTCAGACAGCTGTGATCTTAACAGAAACAGATTGCAAGGCTTACCTTCCATGGTACCACTGGGTGGGTATGAACCATCAACCTTTAGGTTAGCCCCCACCCAAAAAAAAAAAACTACTTCACTGCCATCCAGTCAATTCCAACTCATAGCAACCCTCACTGGGTTTCTGAGGCGGTAAATCTTTACCAAAGTAGATTGCCCCATCTTCCTTCTGTGGAGCAGCTGGGGGGTGGGGGTTTAAACTGCCAACCTTCTTATTAGCAATCACATGCCTTAGGCACCACACCACTAGAGGTCCAGGTTAGTTGTTGAGTGCAAACCGTCTGCAATACCTAACCAAACCACACTCACTGTCATTAAGTTGATTCCGACTTATAGTGACCCACTTTGGGTTTCCAAGGTGGTAAATCTTTATGAAAGTAGATTGCCCAGTCTTCCTTCCATGGAATGGCTGGTGGGTTTAAACCAACTTTCTGATTAGCAGTCAAATGCCTTATGCACTACACTAATCACAGCTCCTAGGGACCTTAAAACCCAGTTATGTCTAAGAAGTTACAATATACTGTAGAAAGAGTACTGTATTTTACATAAATTATGGCAATTCAGTTTAGTAGTATTTCTGGAACAAAGACAGTAACTTAATAAGTATACCTCAAAATATTCCAAGATGTCTCTTTGAAGATTTAGGTGCACTTAACCCAAGCCATGGTGTTTTCAATTGTCTCATATTCATGTGAAAGCTGGACAATGAATAAAGAAGACTGAAGGAAAGTTGATGCTTTTGAGTAGTGGTGTTGGCAAAGAATACTGAAAGTATGCTACAAACACTCTGTCCTGGAAGACGTGCAGCCAGAGTGCTCCTTGGAGGCAAGAATGGCCAGACTTCGTCTCACCTACTTTGGTCACGTTGTCAGAAAGGACATTCCCTGGAGAAGATCGTGCCTGGTAAAGTGGAGCATCAGCAAAAAAAGGGAAGACCCTCAATAAGATGGACTGACAGAGGGGCTGCAACAATGGGCTCAGGTATAGCAAGGATTGAGAGGCTGGCACAGAACCGGGCAGTGTTTTGTTCTGTTGTACACAGGGTCACTATGAGTCAGAGCCGACTCAATGGCACCTAAAAACAACATCAATCAATTTAGTAAACAAAGTATAGTTTAACAGTAGTAGTAAGTTAGATGAAACAGAAGTTCAAGGAGTAACTCAGCTACCATTTCACAGAACTCTCGAGGTTGTGTTGGATTTGGGGATACTGCTCCTGAGCCACAGCTCTGAACACTCAGGAAGGAAATCTTGTAAAACATGAACCAATGTCCATTCCACATTCCAAAAGCCTCCACCAACTGATGTATAAAACATACGGAACTGATGATTAAAACAGAAAACAAGTTCTTGGCAGCAAATGGAAACATACAGACGGAAGTAGCAATGGCTTAAACAAAACAAATTAGGGTATAGTTAAAAAATGTACACATCACTTAACTTCAGAAGCTTCCTCCATAAGGTGCATCCAAATTTTATTTGCTGAAGGACAACGAACCATGCGCACACATGGGAGGAACATGACATGAATGATCAACCTGTTGCCATCGAGTCGATTCTGAAGGATGGCGACCCTGTAGGACAGACTACACCTGTCCTGTAGAATTCCCACAGGAGTTCTGGTGGTGTAGTGTCACCAGAAGGAAGGAAGATTGGGCGATCTACTTCCGTGGTGATACCACCTCAGAAACCCAAGGAGGGGTCACTATGAGTCAGATCCAACTCGGCAGCAGTGAGTTTGGTTTTTTGATTTGGTAGGGTTTCCACAGCAGTAAATCCTTACAGAAGCAACCGCAGAACCAAACCCATGGCAAGCAAGTTGTTTCTGACTCAGCACCCCTGGAGGACAGAGTACAACTGCCCCTTAGAGTATTTAAGGCTGTCAATGTTTATGGAAGCTGACTGCCTCATCTTTCTCCCACGGAGCAGGTGGTGGGTTCAAACTGCCAACCTTTTTGATAGCATTTGAATGCTATCTACGACACCAGAGTTCCTTTCACAAGTATAGGGGTTAAGATTCCGACACATATTTTGGGGACTGTAATTCAGTCCCTAACAGGTACCCAGACAATATTTAATGGTGCAGCTTTCCACCTGCCCACGTGAACTCTTACCTGTGTTCACACCTTTGATATATTCCCACCCACCTGTTTTTTGTTTTAGTTTCTCCTGCTATTTGCACCTTGTTCTCCACAGTTCAGGACTCTTGCAGCTTGCTCCAAAATGGAAATAATATTCAGCTCAGAAAGACTCCTGTTTATGTGAAAAAAGGTACATAAGGAGCTATAGCTTTCCCAGGATACAATCCCTGCTCTTTGTTCAGCTGAGAAGAGAGAACAGGATACATGGATCCAGAAAAAACAGATTTACAAGCTTGCCTACTGAATCTTATGAATGCTTAAGGAACATTTCACATGCACAGATATCCTGGTCTCTTCCCAAACTACTGAACCAAACCACCAGGAAAAACCAACAAATCACGTATCTCAAAACTTTGCTACTAGATTTTGTGGCTACTTGAGCTCTGGAACCACCACTGATGGAGAGTGAAGTGGGTGAGTCACCTGAAGAAAGGAGAAGGTTAGAGTCCAGATGTCGCATTATGAAGCTGTTTGTTTCTGAATCCACACAGCTTCAGTCAGTCAGGCAAGACAAGGTGCTCACATTGGAAAATGCAAAGATAACAAAGGGCAGACCCTGACTTCTGGAGGGAAGCTGTGCTCACCGAGCGAGACCAGGTTCCTGTAGTTCTCCAACATCACGTCCCTGTACAGAGCCCTCTGAGCAGGGTCCAGGCACGCCCACTCCTCCCGGGAGAACTCTACGGCCACATCCCTGAAGGTCAGTAGTCCCTGTAATGAAAGATACATTTCACCACCAAGGGGCGA